CCCAGATAACACGCCATGATCAGATTCAGAATGGGTGGAACTTACATTTTTATCTGAGTTTCTTCCTCTCATACATCCATCTTCATTTAACTCCGAGAAGTTCCTCTGCTGTATTTGGGCGCATTATCTCCTTTTCCAGGTGGGTTATGTCGTGCGACAAATTTTTTAAAAGAGTCTGGAACGACAGGTGTTGTACACATTAGTCATATGTATATTATTTATAGTTCATATGTAAAGACTGCTTTCTCCATATAAACATCCAAAAAAAAGGTACATTTGATCCAGGGTAAGAACAAAATAAGAAATTTCGAGATGCTTCGTATTATTTCTTCAAGAAATCTCTACTCCATATAGCTTCCTATTAGCAACATATAAGTGTTGACAACGAGAAGTGAAACTGAGCAGGAGCGAAAAAAGGATCTTCGGAAGTTAAGGCCATGTGGGGTCCCGTCCCCGGCTTCTGGGGCGGGAGAACGTGTTTCGTTCCTCCTTCTATTCCTAGGGGAGCATTCATCAGCCAAAGCGGAATTGGATTCGCTGAGAAAAGCCATAGTAGTTTAATTTAATTCCTGCGGTTCATATAAGTATACATAAAAAAGTGTTATTACGTGCGCGAATATTGTTCTAAATTTATAACTGAGGTGGGTTTTGTCATGTTATCATAAACTGCGTTAAAATACGTTGAAATATTTTAAACTACCTCCAAATACGGTGTAGTAGGTTTTAAACTGTTAAAATATGTAGTAAAGAGTACTTCTTAAATAAGTTTGACAAATCCAAAATTTTTAACAGAAGCAGAAGCACTTACATAAATAAATTAAGACATTATAGAATATATCTTTAGCCAAAATAATAAAAAAAAAAAAAACAGCAAGTCGAACAACTAAATATGAAATGGTTCCTCCCCTAGGGGGTAAACCCCGTGCCACATTTATATACCCATAGCCATTAAGAGAAAGGAAAGCAACAATGGCTCAACCAATTAAGAACGAAGGAAATATTAATCCTGTCAAAAAAAGGGACGTGAAAAGGGGAGAATCATTTTTTTTCATTTTTTAAAATTCTTTCTGTTCATTGGCCATTTTGATGAGTTCATGACTATGTGTGTATGCAGGCGACTTCTATGGACACTTAAACTGAGTTAACTAACCCAGGGCGAGATAAAAAAAAAGAAGACACACGAGTTACAGAAGTGTATTTATTTGCTGAACGCTACGTTTTTGTTGAGGCTTTCACATAAGGGCGTCTCCACAAAGTGGACATGCATCGCTATTTTTTAGAACTTTTTCTCTAGTTCCAAATGCATCCTATATGAATAACGTTAACATAAGAAATGGCTTTCTTTAGGTCAAGGGACCATCCGTGTCTGTTCGCAAAATATTATGCGGCCTATCTCTATTGTCACACCTGTATAGAAGTAAACATAAAGCATATTGGGAATCAGGTGTTCGGCATTACGGGAGGGACTCCATTACCAATGCACTGAAGCTACATCTCTGGCACGTAATGTAACGATGCTCCTTTCCCTTTCACCTGTTTAGAGCGAAACTCTTTTATTCGGCAGGGACGTCACAGACATCTGATTAAATCGTAGTAGCAAAAATGCTAACTCGAATAGCAGCATCAGAATGAAAAAAGAAAAAAAAAAGAATCTGAAGGTTTATTAATTTTTCTTGTATACATCATAATCCTATGTGGCTAAGATGTCGCAACTATGGCCACAGACAGATGGTGACTCAATTTAAAGTGTTTCCCTGTGCAGAGAACACAGTGCTTACACCCAATTAATCCTACAGCCACTGATTCTTTATTAACCCTCTTTAGCAGTCATTATGCATATAAATATGTATACGTGTTTTTTCTTTTATTCTACTACCTCTTCGAGGTTATACCAATTTGGAATCCTTTCACTTCTCCCCACAGGGGGAAGAGGATGATGAGGATAAACGTGAGGAAAGGCATGGACACATACCAGCATGGGAGGATAAAGGCATTAGAACAGAAGGAAATCCGCAAATTTCTTGGTCCGAATGGCAAATCCCATATGTGTTTACCAGCCGAGTAACATATGCGCCCCTCTCAGAGTGCCAGGAGAAAATAAGGTCGCAATAAACTGGACATTTAAAAGGATAACACGTGAGGATGAGTTAATCAATGCATAATTAAAAATAGTTCCACATTTTAAGAGACCCCTCCCAGTATGTTAATCAAAGGAATACATTTTCATTTAAATGAGGAGGCCCCTCATTTGTTAAACCCTTCTGTTCATTTTATCCCCGTTTTCTTACTAAAACTGAAATGTGATTATGGATGATGGCCACACTCATCTGCTAGAAGTGTCAGGACTTAGCAATTCCACTCGGTTACATAAATCTTTATTCGCAGAAGTATACTGAAAATTCATGTATACTTATATGAACATTTTGGCCCTTGTTTTTTTCTTCTTCTTTTGTGGCCCATGGTGGTACACCTCTGTCCTCACAAAGAAGCAGGACTTCGGGCTTTTCTCTTGCAATTAATACCATTCGTGAATGGAGGACGTGAAAAAATCCCGAAAATTGAAGCTTATCTTCATTGGGTCAGATATCACCACAATTGGAAACATTTCACCACATGTGTTATAATGCCCTCTCTCAAGGGAAATTAGCATTATTATCTCATTTGAACAGCACTCCGGATACATACAAATGGAAGGGCAGTCACAGGGAGAAGCCTTTGCTGGTGACGCCCTACCTAGATCGCAACAAGCGTTCTGAGTCATGAGCGCAGGCGTAGCCATCTCCCCAGTCAATACCTAAGCTAAAGGGAGATTTATCTTTGACGCCTTTCAATCACTCCTTCTGCTAGTAAGAAGTGCTAAGATTAAGAAAAAAATAAAATAATTGCCGTTCTGCGGAATTCTTATAGAACGGGATTTATATCTAATTACAACTCGCGAATTGTATAGCATGCAATAGAGCCCCGCGAAGAGGACCTCTCATTTTTTCCCATAACGAGACTGAATTCTAAATGCCTGAATTAGAAGGCGGGTTATCAAGGAAAAGGAATTTTTCTCTTTTCTAATTTTCCATATTTAAGACGCGTGTAGGATGTAAGCCATTTACAGTCATCTGACTCAACTGTGTATGATAAATTTGAATTCGTCATTTTCAAGTGAACAGACTGCGTCGAGAAAAAATTCATTTTTATTTTCAACTTAAATAATACACTAAATACTGGGCTACAGGGTGTTCTTCGACATCCCCTAATTTTGGTGTAACTCCATCTCCATTTCGCATTACTCCTTTTCCTACACCTCATTCAGAGAATGAACTCATTTTTCATACTGTATATAATAATAAAGGGAAACATGTTTGCGTAATCTCATCAATCTACCTCTCCAAATTTGTATTTAAATTTTTCGTCTTATCGTTCCTTCTTTACACCCGAGGGGGCGTAATTTGCACCCCTTGAAACCCTCAGTTAGCGTTTTCCATAATGAGGAGGTTCTCTATGTTTCCCTTTCTTCCGCTACCTCTCAGGCCGCTTCCAATTTTCTTCATGTAGCACCTGCTCTTTTTATGCGTTAATAAAAGGCAAATGTATTGATTTATGTTCACGTAACCACACCACAACGTGTATTACCCAGGTATAACGTTCAAGTGATAATCTTAGCGCATGTCTACTAATTTGGCCTGCTCTTAGACGCTCCATAATAAAGAGCAGTGGTTTTCATATACATATGCCCCTCATTGGACGCGAAATTGCTCCCGCGAGGTTAATTTCTCAGAAGAAATTAAAGTAATATGAATGCCATCACGGGGGTACGCACAACTTCACATCAACTTCGGGAACAGAAGGCGGGAAGAGATTTCCAACATCTTTCCTGTACTAACTGTTTGAAGATCACTCTTCCAGTTTTCCCTTTGCTCCCCCCTCTGGTAAGTACGAACCCTTATATATGTATGCTTACTTCCGGTCCTGCTAATTACTGCAAACCTGCTGCACATTCTATCTACGCCTATCACTCGGGCGATGGCACTAACTACCTTTACGGCAATATTTTTGCTTGCTTCCTCACTATATTCTACCATGGGACTCCTTTATCAGTCGCGCACTCTTCCCCCAATAAAGTTTCAAAACTAACAGAAGCAGCTAAGCTCAGAAGTCACGACCGACGCCATGGGAGTAGACGAAATTTAAGCGCGTCCATCGCAAGCTCAAAAAGATGCTTCACAAAGGATAGTACTGGAGCCTCTGAACCTCTCATTCCATCTGTTCGGTGATGGTAAAAGGTTACGCAACATATATCCTATCACCAGAATACATCACTTAATACGACTGTTTCCATTTCGCCACCATCTATATAGCGGTTTACAAAGCATGTCACGTATCTCCAGATATGAGTACTATACATATGTCTGTACTTTCCTGCTACTTCCACTGCAAATCATGAATACTAAATAAGAAACAGTGCTATTCAAATAGAGGCTTTATCAACACAACAATACCCTTAACATTAGGGTACATCTCGAAGAGACATACTCTTCCATAACAGACTACTTCGAATATAATAATATTCATTATGGCATATGCAGCAGCACATAATCGTGGCACTTAGTCTGATAACACTGGAGGTGATGAAGATATCAGAACTAATACGACGTTTACATAACAATACCATGGCAATCTCCGGATTCTTAACCATTGAGAATCCAGACACGTCAGTACTGTTTAGACAAAAATTCTTGAATATCCATGCACTTCACCTAAAAGTATTAAACATGAATCTGGGGGATGCATTAGCGTTAGAGACGCATACACAGGTGTTCTGCAAAGAAAGCTACCCCTGGGGGGGTTTCCACTCTTGATCTAACAAAACGATAAGCAGGTCAGTACTCTGCACATATGAGTAGTGAGAACACCTCAATAGGCTTCGTACAATAACACTCCAGGGGAATCCTTACCCTTGACGCAATTTTGCTGTCCAATTAACAGTTCTATCCAGGTAACATTGCTATTCACCTAATAGTACCCGATGGACATTATCAATTATAGAATAGTAATATACCAGGGATAAAGATACCATTTCCCACATGGGTATATAGTTCCTGTCTCCTAATGTTACCACATCCGTATTGTTATGATATTTACACTTCACATATTTGGGCATTTTCATAGATAGCCAGAAAAAGAGAATATCCTTATAATGACGCAACAAGGAAAAGGGAAGATAAGCACATCGGTAAATATGTTAAAGAGTACAGCATTCCAATAAAGAGGAATGACATAGAATACAACCTATGGAGAAGGTTGCAACCGAGAAATCTCTTCACAATGATGCGGCCTGAAGAAACCTTTAAACAATAAGCGAGGCGGAGGAACATCTTCAAACCGGCGTGGAAAACAAACATCCTGAAGATACCAGGAGGAGAAAGCATTTTCATAAAGAAAATAAAACACAAAAAAGTATCTTGACATTGCCTCAGAAGAAGGGCATCTTCATAGAGAAAACCAAACCCGGAAGGAGATCTTCAGAATGCCGCAAAAAAGGTACATCATCGTAGAAAATATGAAAAACAGAGAGAAATCTTTACGATGCCGTGAGAGGCAGCAGCCTCCATATGAATGAAATGACACACAACAATATATTCATGCTGTCGCCGTGAAATAACATCATAAACAATGCCGCGTAGAAGAAGTATCTTCCTAAAGGGGAGGGACTCATAGAAGTTTTTTTTCGCGCTAACATCGTAAAAGGAAGTGACATCTTTATAAAGAAGCCAGGAAAAGAAAATATGATAAATATAAAGCCATAAGAAGAATCTTGGTAAGAAGAATGCCAACCCAACGAAAATTCTCATGACATGGCAAGAGGAACCTCATCAGGGCCCCCGAACAGAAAACTATCGTCAGAGAACAAATGGAGTACAAACAACAATTCTGATAGTGACAGGGCAAAGGAAGCCATCTCTATAAGAATGGAAAGCGAAAGAATACATTAGGAGTACCAAGCGGTAAAATGAATCTTGGTAAAACACATGCCCCACAAGGGAAGATAAACCTCCCAATGGCGCACCATAGAAGGAAAGGACTTCATAAAAATGGAACAGGAAATATTATCCTAAACCAAATACCACCCAAAGAAACATCTTTATATTGACGCAACAAGGAGGCTGTAGCTATGGAAAAATGTAGCAAAGACGAGCATTATTATAGTGCCATGCCAAATATAAGCAACGTTAAAAAAATGCCACACAGAGGAAAAGCATCAAAGTGACGTGATACGAGAACAGCACAATGACCCAGGGGAAGGTCATCATATAAATCGAGGGAAAAAAAGCAACATCATGAAGAAACTACACAAAAAAAATCGTGATAAAGATGCAGAAGATAAAGGCATCTTAATAAAGATGCCAGGGAAAGCAGTATCGTCATAAGGATGCTGCGAGAAATGGCATCATAATCGAACCCTAGCAAAAGATTCCGTCAGAGGAATGTCGCACAGAGGTGTATTCTCATGAAAAAATTAAATAGAGAAATATATATAATGAGGCGAAAGGAAATAGCACGTGTGCGACGGATATAACAGATGAGAGGCCCTCGCCAAGAATTGATCAGCAAGGAGGGGCCTGCGCTAAAAATTACGCTACATGACACGACATTTGCAAAATGAGACCAACTGAACACGCCTATATAAGAAAGAGTCCCCATGAGAAGATACTCTCATAAGAGTGCAGAAACATGATGAAGCACACTCATGGGGATGATACGACACCAAAGCGCATCAACGGACACTATGCAACTTGACGACTCATACGCGAAAGAGTTCGGATATGAATTAACACACTTATAAAAGTGCAGAAACATGAGAAAGGATACACAGGCAAAATGCAATATGGGAGGGGATACTGGTGAGAATATGAACACATCAAAGAAGACACTCACAAAAGGGATGGGGCATGAGAAGACATTAGCAAAGATAATGTAACTATAAAACAAGCCATATAGACACGTGTGTCCACCATTTTATGTTCTGTCAATTGGATCCGCATATTCTTATCTTAATGCACTCAGACGGATCTTTACAAATACGCATGAACACATCTAAACGCTATAACAGTTTTCTCAATCGTATGCAACATGCAATTAAAGGCGAAATTGTAATTAAAAATTCTATTATAGGAGTTCAAATTCAATAATATATTACTCCCTTTATATATGCATAGGTAAAACACGTCATGAGAAACCATGTAATTTTAAGGAGCACATTTTTATGGCAAATGAATAATTCTCTAATCTGAATCTGGATATAATTGTCACTATGTTTTCCTTCTGAGTAAAAATGTGTACGACCAATACTATTTTGTCCTTCCCTGGGTTGTCCCTTTGGGAAGGCTCCCTTCTTTGTATGACGCCTGATTACCTTCATAGTTCATCAAGTTAACTCTTTTTATTTCTATGGCAGATGAACTAATCGCATATATAAAAGGGAAGAAAGCTACATATATACATGTATATCCATGTGTATATATATGTTGCATGATAAGGTGTAAAAAGCTCAAAAACACATAAGCTGTTATCCATAGATGATAGCAATGAATAGAGGTATGATAATTACGTGTATTCCTTGAGCCAATATGTTTCTTATGTCTCTAGAAATTCATGCACCCTCAGTTCACACCGATAATGTGAATTCCCTTAGAGCTTCCAAAGGAAGAATGCTGTATATTCTTCCTTAATTTACTATAATTAACGATATGCAAAATGGGAAACGTCGTTATACTTACACATATCTGTTATTCCTAGTGTTTATCCATGACTCAATACTGCAGTGTTTCCACCCTCTTCATGATAGATTCTTTGTAATATATTTTATTACTACTGTCACAGTTTCACCAGAACAGGGAAGAAAACAGTAAATAGCATCGCTTTTATACGGTCTTAAAAGTGGCTAACCATGGGGAATGAATAACATTTCATATAAAACAGGTTTTTTCTACGGCGACAATTGATTCTTTATGTAATTCTCAATTAATTCAAAATCTATCACAATCTAAATTTATGTAACTGCTTCAAGTCATTCCTTCTTGAAGTACGTAGAAAATTAAAATGTTCTTATTTTGTTCATTTCTTGAACTGTTCCTGTAATTGATTATTAGATATTCAGAAGCAATGCTTAGTCGAAAAAATAAAATTTAAGATCGGAACATATTTATTATTCGTTATAAGAAAAAATAACAAAACAGAAGAGCAATATGTTTAATAATTAATTATATCGCAGAAAAAAAATAGTGCTCCTAAAACTTCTAGTAAGTTAATATACTTCTATAAATAGATTAGTACGTAACAGTACTCTTAAAATATAAGTAGTCGCACCGCCAAAAAAAAGAAAAAGAAGAGATTCTGAACAGTCCATTTTAAGCCTGGTTAGTACATAAGAAAAATAACATACTTCAGTATTTATCGCATCTACGAAAATTTTCTACTTGACTTCTTCATGTTATCTCTGTAGGAAATATAGTGACAGGTGTGTCTTCATTGTAAAACAGATAATAGAGAAGGATAGTTACACTTGTATGTCAATTTATGGCAGACATTCTTACAATAAGAAAAAAATAAGACTCCTTCAACATATAACCCGATCTTTTAAGCATTATATTGTTTGTCTATTTTAAGCATCTTCGCAGCTGTAGGGGTCCAGCGAAATATATTTCTAGGTAATGCGAAATCGTGGAGTTAATAAGTTTTATCTGATTTTTCACATATATTGTATAGCGTCTTGCACATGTGTAACGTACGCATAGAGGGGAATCTTCTACAACAGTCATTCCATCAGGAATAACTGCGAAAGGCCTTGTTCAGAAAATATCTTAACCATTCTGACTTCTCTCTTCTTAGTAATGAATTCCTCTTATTTTATTGCATGACTATTGATACTGTCCTCACCATATCATCGTCAGAAGACCTCGATATCATTATTCATGTGTTTCCTCATAGGTGTCTGCAAATTTCATAGGGCTAAAATAAATGTGAGAACCTCGGGAACGCATTATAAAATTGCAATATTTCATTATTTTCCTATCCAAAAGAAACGCTTAAGATATAAATTACGTAATACAAAAGCATCGCAGAAACCGTAATCACCATAAGGAGAGAGTGCTATCATAATAATAAATATTACATGAAAAATTATTTCTATACACATATGCGACAGTATATATGCATACAATTATAAAAATCCATATGTTGCCTAAATAGCTAGGTCGTCCACTACGTGGTAAGTCCTGATGGTAGTGCACCACAACTGTGACAATATATACTTAGAGCTCTTACAACAGAAAACAAAAGAAAAGTACTTCAAGAAACAGTTGCAATGAATCAAATAATTTAAATAATACGTAGCTATACAGTACAGAATTTCAGAAATATACTTGAGGATATTTTTCCTTGTTTGTGTTAATTATTTCTCTCCTTTAGTTCATAAAGGATGATGAGAAGTGGCTATACAAAATGTTTAGCATATAACTCTCAATCATACATCTATTTATGTACTATATAGTATAAAATAAAAACGTGCATATAAAGGGAGGTATCCGATACAACTACTATTAGGGGCACACCAATTCTAGCGGCGGTAATGAATACAGAATTCGGTTCAGATAATTACATAATATTATTTCACTCTTACAACATTTTAATAGTTGATAATATATTCACGCAGTCCTATAATACTCATAATTAACGCTACATCACCTAGGCTATTCTTAGGTTTGATAGATTACGATGAACTCACTAATATAATGACATGCATTACAACACATCATATCATCTTCTAAATACTTTTAATAAAAAACACATCAGGGAACATATTGAACTGTGTGCATTTTATATATTATTGGGTAATCAAATCATACAATATGGATGTAGGAGCTGCGTAAATAAATAAATTCAGTGCGAAAATATACTACCTCGCGCACACGACGCAAATAATGGGCAACGGGTTGAAAATAAATAATTAATTACTAATATCGCAACATTACAAAATATACGTGAACTGTATTTAACGGAATATATAATTTCAATGGGAGAAAATAAAACTTACATTTATTTAAAAACGCAATTTTTAATTTACTGCCCACTGCATCAAAGAAAAAAATGCCCTACGCGCAGAATAAAATGTAAAAGCGACGAATAATTTTTAGTAAAAATTGATTTAAAGAAATTTTTCCTTGCAATTCATTCCATTTATATGAAAACATTACTATAAAATGGTTTTCAACTACTATTTTTCCGGGTGAAACCTAATTGTTCCTCTTCCTAAATAGCTAGAATTACACTGGATTTATATTATTTATTCATATTATTCA